GCTAGACACGAGCCAAAAGCCCGCGGGATCAATCAATAATCCCACCACAGATCATCCTCAGCTCTCAGATGTCCTCTTTGTGCACAAAGTAAACGCTCTTCTGATTCTTTATAACAAAAAAAAAAAAAAAAAAAAAAAAAAAAAAAAAAAAAACGGGCTCATTCCACGAGAAATAAAACCTTGTCTAACGAAAACATTTCTTAAGGCAAGGAAATTTGGTCGAATCTATGGCATTCAAATCTTCGGAATTTATGCGGAAACTACAGTTTAATTATTCCCAGAAGAAGTACACCGATTTATTCAGCATGAAAGTATCCAAAAAAACAGCACTGCGCACAAAAATGAACGAGTGTAAATTGGCTTCACTTCATTTGAAAATTGAAAATATAATCCTCGCAGGAAAAACTGTTTCTCCGATAACAAAAAACCAACTCCTCCGTCTTTTGTTCAGTTAAAATCACTCAAATACGCCTGAAATCGGTAGAAAACTTCTGGAAAACTGAACTGATTTCCCCCGCATTTTTTTCTCTCTCCGTTGAATAACAAACATACATAGTCATCAATCGACAGGCAAACAAGGTTGGTTTCGATCGCTCTATTGAGTTTGATAAGCTGCAACAAAAAAAAGATGTTTTTGTGAAAACTAATATGAAAGACGCGATGACGGAGACGAAGCACGCATCAAACAATGACTCAGCTACTTTTCTATCCAGACCCCATGCCGAGAACTGGACCTTCTTTCCAGACACGCCTTGCCTTTCGAATACTTACTTCAAGAAACAAGTACAGTGTATCAGAAAGACAAAACCCAGGCCACAGAACCCGAATGAAAAACCCCTTCATCAAGTTTAATGATAGAAATGACTAAATTCAGGGTCGAGGAAAAATAAAAATTATCCGTTTATTGTGACGGAACAATCGGCCTTCAGACGAGTGCTCAGAAGAATCCGCGACACGAATAAATAATACTGAGCATTTCAAAACTTTTACAACTGAAGTTGTTGTGTGAAAAAATACTGTAGATTGCCTGCAATTCAGCAACGTCAAAAAAATGCTACCCAAGGACAGACCGTTTATGCGTTCAGCAGATTTTCCCAGCCAATTTAGTTCGCACCATCAAATAAAAACACCGGTTCGAAAAAAAAAAACTGGAATTACAAACATTTCAAAGACCCATCTGATCAGTTGGCGATAAAATAATAAACGATCATAGCATTCATCATCATCATTCCAATGAAACGATCGAAAAATGTCAAAATATTCAGCCGCGACCTCAATTACTTATTTTACAGTTGGAGTTATTCTGTCAACATCTTTTTTTCCTGCAGCTCAGAATGACCATTAGTTTGTCAGAAAAAAAACCCCCCCACGGTATAAAGCATGCAATTTTTCACAACACGAAACGATTTTTGGAACAAGAAAGTTTTCTTTCATGAGCCTTGAGTAATAATTCTTGAATTTCGACGAACGATAAGCGCAATAGACTGCAACATACTGTACAGCAAAAACCGTTCAATCACGTGCTACAAAATCAAACATTTTCAATAAATTTCTTGAACATGGTAAACCGAAAGGTTGAATTGAAAAGAAAAGCCAAGCAATCTCATCTTCACTGATTAAAAAAATAAGAACAACATCAGCAACGCGTCTTTAAACTTACGAGGGTTTCCGCACGTCAAGAAATTTTGGATATTCCGTTCAGAATTCCACAAATTACATAAATTTTTGTAAACGTAAAATTGAGCAGTTTACACGGCAAAACAGGAGATCAAATAAAAAATAAATAGAAAGGCTGGTAATTTTCTCACGAAAGTTCAAAATTCGTATTTATTTAAAATTACGAGGGATTCCGACCATCGGAAATTCCGTTCAAAATTCTAGCAGACACGTTTTTCACGCCAAATTAAAAACAAATAAAGCGGCTGGTAAATTTCTCTGGACAGTTCAAAATTCGTATTTATTTAAAATTACGAGGGATTCCGACCATCAAGAAATTTTAGATATTCCGTTCAGAATTCCACAAATTATATACGTTTTTTTTACGTAACATTGAGCAGTTACACGGTAAAACAGGAAATCAAATAAAAACAAATTAAGAGGCTGGTAATTTTCTCTCAACAGTTCAAAATTCGTGACAACTCCTCGACAAAAAAAAAACACGAGTTTTGGCGCATCATAAAAATTGCATACCCAAATAATCCGCGGGGCGCGTCCAACTCATGTGCGATGAGGGGTCTCCAAAATTTCTAGATTTAATCCCCACAGATACCCAATTCCCCCCACAAACACTTGAAGGTCACGGGTCTCCTTCACATGATAAGGGAAAAACTAGACCAAGTTCTCGCTTTCACAAAGTATACATGTATATATATATCCTTGAGGGATATTCTCCACACTGGAGAGAGAGAGAGAGAGAGAAACCGTTCGTTGCCCGCAAGGACAGGAAAAGAGACAACCGTGACCAAAAACGTGCCCATCAGCCCAGATGCCATCAAAAAATAACTCATCATCCTCTCGAAAAGAACAAAAAAAAGTATACTCAGGAAAAAAAAAAGAAATACCCCGAAGGACATTCCTTTTTTTCTTCTTCTTTCCCACCACCACATCACTCAAATGCCAAAAAAAACAACAACTCTTATCTGGAAGGCTTTGAAAAATTAACCCCTTTGGCCGAAAAAAAAAAACTTTTAAAATTTGGCAGTGCTTCGCTGAAAGTAAAAAACTATTCCGCACGAGAGCGTCGCAAAAATGCGGCCTTCTCGCAAGAATTTCCCCTGTATACAACCCAAGGCACAGAAGAAGAAAAAAAACTAAGGGGGAATTTGAGTTCATGCATTTTTCATGAAGTGGGAACATACACACACACACACACGCACACAAAAATGACACTCGGGGCAGAAAGAGTGATTTAAATTCAGTTTTTGCTCTTCACGGGGTTCGTTCATTATCGACTTCGAGAGGCACGCGATGAACACTTTTTTCCCGGGTCCCGCATCTCATTTCCTCTTGTTTTTTTTGTTTTGTTTTACAACTACTTTTATAAAGGAATGCGAGTCTCTCGCATTGCAACAAAAATGAGACGGAACAAACGGTTGGGTGAAGTTTTTCCCGAGGCATTATTACTTCTGTGATTCCCCGGGATTTCGCTTTTTTTCTACTTTCATTATACACAAAAAAAATCTTTCTTTTTTTTTCAAGTGTGCTGTGCGACCGACCCCAAGGCAAAACACTTGACCGAGTTTTATTTTTCCCGGAGAGCAGAAAATAAAACCCCAGACGGAATTAGTATTTCTCGAAGACGGTATTTCACCCGGGAAACGAGGGTTTTCTTGACGTTTGAAACAGCTTCGTTCTTGACTAACCGCACCGGAAACACGGTAACGGATTCCCGAAAACACACACAAAACAATTGAAATTGTTGCGTTTGAAGCAAGTGGCTTGATTTTACAACTCGTACACAGAAAAAAAAATCGAGAGTATATTCTCAATATGTAAGAAATTTATAACGCAAAATCTGGGAACCAAAACCTGGGACGCTCGAGTAACCCAGTTTTTACTCGGTTCAATGAAGGAAATATTCAAAATGGTGAATAGAACAAGTTCAAAAAAATCAGAGCTTATTAAATCCACGTCTGGAAAGATCAAAAGCTGCTTCGATTATTCGCTACTCTCTCTTAAATTCAATTTTGATTGCATAAATGTGTTCCTATACTCAACGACAAATCGGCAGGAAGGATACACTTGAAAAAAGCTGAACTTTTAACTCGTACACAGAAAAAAAAATCGAGATTGTATTCTCAATGTGTACAAAAAGTATGATGCAAAATCTGGGAACCTTTAAGACAAACGCTCAAGTAACCCAGTTTTTAGTTGGTTCATTTAAGGAAATATTGAAAAATGGTGAATAGAACAAGTTCCAAAAAATCAGAGCTTATTAAATCCACGTCTGGAAAGACCAAAAGCTGCTTCGATTATTCGCATCTCTCTCTTAAATTCAATTTTGATTGCATAAATGTGTTCCTACTCAACGACAAATCGGCAGGAAGGATACACTTGAAATGAGCAACAGTGAAATTCATGCAACTCCGATTCATCGCAGTTTTCCATCATTGCAATTTAATTGCTGTAAAAGTGCCGAAATAGCACATTTTTTGATTCAATATCCCCACATGAAATGGAGAAATCCAAAAATTTCCAATTTAAAAATCCATAAAAAACGCGTCCAATTTTCTTGCATCAACGAATGGAAGAAACATTTTTTCCCGTTTTTAACGAATCAAAAAAATGTAGTTACGAATTTTCCTTCAGTAAACTCTCTTCGAAACCCCATGTATTAAAAAAAAAGCATGCCTAAAAAATTCGTAATAATCTTTACAGATTTTTTTGCGCATCAAAATCACGAATCTCACTTCAACATAAAATTTAAGACGACAGCCTATAAAGAAATGGCTGCAAAAAACAAACAAAAAAAAAAACAGATAGACGCTCTTTGCAACAATTTTGCCCACAGTATATCGATTTTCTCTGGTTAACGAATTCATTTCTCCCGTGGATTTCGTATAATAGAGAAAGTCCAAATGTATGGTTTTTATGACAAAGATATTTCTGTATAATGTATTTTGATCAAGTAGATAAATAAAATAAAATACCAAGTCCACAAGTTCCGGTCGTTGGAAATCACGCGTCGAGAATCTTATCCCGCGGTGCAATAAAATTTCGAATCCGGTTTTATAAATAGTTTAGGTTTCAGTTCTTTGCTCTTGTACCGCACTAAGAGTACACACTATGTCCCTGTCGAATGGCTTGGACTGGAAAGAACCCAAGTTTTCAGATATTCAGCAAATAATGATCGATTAACTCGGAGATCTTTGATCATGAGAGAGAGAGAGAGACAAGAACACGAAAACAAAATCAAATCCGCCTTTTGTGGTTCCGAGTACACCTTCACGCACGCACGCAAAAAAAAAAAAAAACCCCGAAAATGGGCAAAACGGAAATTGTCACGGATTGACTGACCTGTGTGAGTCCGCTTGTGGATCTTGAGGTTCTCGGACCTGGCAAACACCTTCCCGCACCCCGGAAACGGACACGGGAACGGCTTCTCCCCGGTGTGGACCCGGATGTGGATCTCGAAGACGGTATTTCACCCGGGAAACGAGGGTTTTCTTGACGTTTGAAACAGCTTCGTTCTTGACTAACCGCACCGGAAACACGGTAACGGATTCCCGAAAACACACACAAAACAATTGAAATTCTTGCGTTTGAAGCAAGTGAAGCATTTTACAACTCGTAAACAGAAAAATAATCGAGAGTATATTCTCAATATGTACGAAATTTTTAATGCAAAATCTGGGAACCTTTAAGACTGACGCTCGAGTAACCCAGTTTTTAGTTGGTTCATTTAAGGAAATATTGAAAAATGGTGAATAGAACAAGTTCAAAAAAATCAGAGCTTATTAAATCCACGTCTGGAAAGACCAAAAGCTGCTTCGATTATTCGCAACTCTCTCTTAAATTTTATTTTGATTGCATAAATATGTTCCTACTCAACGACAAATCGGCAGGAAGGATACACTTGAAATGATCAAAAGTGAAATTCCTGCAACTCCGATTCATCACAGTTTTCCATTATTGCAATTTAATTGCTGTAAAAGTGCCGAAATAGCACATTTTTTGATTCAATATCCCCACATGAAATGGAGAAATCCAAAAATTTCCAATTTAAAAATCCATAAAAAACGCGTCCAATTTTCTTGCATCAACGAATGGAAGAAACATTTTTTTCCCGTTTTTAACGAATCAAAAAACTGTAGTTACGAATTTGCCTTCAGTAAACTCTCTTCGAAAGCCCATGTATTAAAATAAGGCATGCCCAAAAAATTCGTAATAATCTTTACAGATTTTTTTGCGCATCAAAATCACGAATCTCACTTCAACATAAAATTTAAGAAGACAGCCTATAAAGAAATGGCTGCCAAAAAAAAATAGACTCTCTTTGCAACAATTTTGCCTACAGTATATCGATTTTCTCTGGTTAACGAATTCATTTCTCCCGTGGATTTCGTATAATAGAGAAAGTCCAAATGTATGGCTTTTAGGACAAAGATATTTCTGTATAATGTATTTTGATCAACTAGATAAATAAAATAAAATACCAAGTCCACAAGTTCCGGTCGTTGGAAATCACGCGTCGAGAATCTTATCCCGCGGTGCAATAAAATTTCGAATCCGATTTTATAAATAGTTTAGATTTCAGTTCTTTGCACTTGTACCGCAGTAAGAGACACACTATGTCCCTGTCGAATGGCTTGGACTGGAAAGAACCCAAGTTGTCAGATATTCAGCAAATAATGATCAATTAACTCAGAGGTCTTTGATGATGATAGAGAGAGAGAGAGCCAAGAACACGAAAACAAAATCAAATCCGCCTTTTGTGGTTCCGAGTACACCTTCACGCACGCACGCACGCACGCAAAAAAAATAAAAAATAAACCCCGAAAATGGGCAAAACGGAAATCCAGTGCCTAACTGACTGGACACACTCAGGCGAACACCTAGAACTCCAAGAGCCTGGACCGTTTGTGGAAGGGCGTGGGGCCTTTGCCTGTGCCCTTGCCGAAGAGGGGCCACACCTGGGCCTACACCTTCACTAGTTTGTACTTGGCCTTGAACGCGCGCCCGTTCCTGGCGCAGTTTTGCCAGAAGCAGGCGTGCGTGGCACACTCTGGCCCGCCCACATGCTCCACCGTCAAATGCGTTACGATCTCGTGCATGCTGGCAAACAACTTCCCGCACGCCTTCCGCGGGCTCGGCTGGTCCTGGTCGATCCACTATAAAACAAAACACCACACGGAAACACCACTAGGCATTAGAATGAAAAATGCAATCACAAACACAAAAGAGCGAATCTCAAATGAGCGCAAGCACAAAAGAGCGGATGCACAAAAGAGCGCGCATCAAATGAGCGGGCGTCCAAAAGAGCGCATGTTCAAAATATCCTTCTTATCTAACTGAAGCATCCAATTAGACCTTCTTTGCACTATACAAAACTAATATAACATGTTTAAATGAGTCATTTGATACTTGATCTTCTGATGTTTACTCCTGAACCAACAATATTTAGTCATTTGTGCTTCAATAGGATGGAAGACCGCCGTTTTACAAATGAAGCAGAACCCACTTGACAAAACTTATACTGACTGACACAATTGTTAAACTTGTTTCGGTAATGCCATGAGTTTTTGAAGTTGTTCGTACAGTAAATCTAACTACTCACGTCCTATTTTCTTCCTTGTCTTTTTTCATCATTTTCCTTTTTTTGGAACCTGTTAGGTACGGGTGGTTTGTTTTTACGTACGTCCAGAAACTTCCAAGAAAGCCACTGTGTTATGAAATTAGCTTAATTATTTAAAATATATTTTAAAGACTTAATTATCACTTTGACTATAATGCACAAAATTTGGAAAATAAATGGTTAAAAATAATCACTTGTTGTGGATAGATATACAAGCTCTGAAAAGTTAAAATCATAATAAATACTAACACCTGAGGGTCAATATTGACTTTGAACAAATGTTGAATAAAGTGTACCGGCCCTTTTGCAGCAAAAAATTACTCGTCATTCGAGAACAAAAAAAGCAAGTGCCATGATGATGACCATTCATGACAATATTTTTACCCACCCCAAATAGATAAACCTCAATTAAATAGATGATATAGTGCAGTAACATGTTTCTTGGCCTGCTATTTTGACACTTAATTTTGACACTTGGGCTTCTTCCGAGCACTTTTGCAAGAACAATGGGGTTTACGACACCCTTGACAACGTGATGGATCGTGATCAAGAACGGTGATGATGGTGCAATCGTGGTGCTTGACCCAACCGAGGAGACCCGAGGCAGTTGGGTCATTACGATAACGATCCAAACTGGCTCCCAAACGAGTACCGACGTTGCAAAACGATTAATTTTTACTGGGTTCGTTATCAAGTAAAAGCCAGGACATAAATTCGGTTCACACAGGGTGTGGAGGAAGCAAATGCCATTCCTCTGAAAAAGTGTTGAAGTTATACAGTGCTTGGTGTGGGTCATTAGATTTGAAAAAAATTTAATCAGACTTATCCTGCTGTTGGCATCATCAGAACCATGCCTCTTGATTTATACTAATTCAGTGAGACCCCCACATATGTGGACACTTTGACATGAGGAGAATTTGACGTAGGGGCACTTATTTTTCAATAAAAAGGGCACAAAAAAGCACAAAAAATGGACATTGCCTTGGCATTAGAACAATGCATGATAAAATTGCAAACAATTTCACAAAAATTGACTTTTATTTGGCTTGATTGCAAGAAACAGATATTTTCAACCCTAAGATTTATGCAGGAAAAATTGTTTGTCATTTCTCCCACCATTTCCCCATCCATTCAGATAATTTAAAAATTACCTATTGCATAAAGGGACTTCCTCCTCTCTTTGAAACTTGAATTTCATTTTTGTAGATGTCAAAATTTCAATGTACGGTACAGAGATACTCTATTCAATGCTTCAAATGTTCTTATTGAGTTGAAAATACAGTATATTCACTGAATCAAATTCAAGTGGCAATCAATTTGTTCATGGAATTCTGAAGAATATTTCTTCCATAAAACACCAATTAAATTTTATATAATGCAAGTCTATGGGAAACAAGACTCAACTTAGGGACACTCTTGATGCACCAATTACATCCACATCTGGGGGTCTCACTGTATTTGAAAAATTAGCCTTGTTTCTTCATTCATAATATGTTCCTGAATAAAAATCCACGTCGGACTGTTAAAAAAACCCAAAAAGTTTAGAAGTAAAGGAAACAAAGATTTTGATCTGAACTTGAAAACTCAAGCTTCCGAGTTTTTTTTTCCCCTCGAATGCATTAAATTCGAGAGACCGAAAAAAACTTTTATACACTGTAAAACCCATAAATTTGCCGATGTACACCCCTGGAATGTTAGTTGTTTGAAAACCAAAGAAACGAAAACAAGATGACGCAACAGAACATATCGAGCCAAACAAATTCGACTTCTTGGGATTAAATTCGACACACAACATTCTTAAATTCAAGTACACAAAAAAAGCTTTAAGGAACTTTTGTTTTTTAAAGCACATATTTAAACAGCACAGAGAACTTCTACGCAGACGAGCATTTTTTTCTTCTTCTTCAAAATCCTCATCTTCAAGCAATTGCAGAACATACGTGTAAAAAAAAAAAGTTTCTGTCACTCGACAAAGGACGCCAGAAAAACCCACATTCGTCGGTGACACACTCTTGCAATCATTTTCACCAACAACAACAAAGTGTGTCAGAGAAGTTTAAATATTTATTTGTGTGGCAAGTTCTCTTTGTGCGTTTGGGCAAACGGACCTGACAAGTGAGCTCCTGCTTGACCGGATGGCGCATGTACCGGAAGAAGGCGCCGGCATGGGCAGCAGCGTGGTGCGGGTGCAGGTGGTGCTGCGGCATGTTCACGTTGACGCCATAGCCCGGGGGCTGTTGGTTCCCGAACTGGTACCCCGCCCCGTCGCGCCAGTCGAACCGCATTTGATGGTGCGGGTGGTGGTGGTGGTGTTGCGGCGGTTCCAGGCCCGGGAACAAACTGCAATCGAACGAATAATGACATCAAATAAAATGGCGTCGAACGGCGAGGCTCGAAAATAAAAAATGCCAATATGAAACAACTGCTGCAGTAATAAAATCAAATTCTCTTGGATATTCAACCCGCGTGACAGAGAAATTACGGAATAGAAAATTACCAGACGCCACGCCCTTTTTTTCTGATAAAATCAAAGTAAAATAAAATTACGCAGCGTCCTTGTTCCATTGTATTAACTATAAAAGAATATCCGTAAAATTACCAAATAACTACAGTACCATAAAATTTAAGAAAAATAAGCACGAAATCATCTTTGAAAGCAGAATATACTCCAATAATACGAAGCCACAAGTGCATCACTCCAATGTTTATGCGCCCGAAAACAGCGATCGCAAAAATATTTTTTTGGCGGTCGTCCAGAATCGCAGATTTCTCTTCCGGCCTCGAATAGCGTGCGAATGAAGATCTCATCTGCCTGAATCATGCAGACTTATGTACAATAAATACAATACAGTGAGACCACAAAATACGTACACCTCAACATCCGGACAATTCAACATAGGGAAACTTATTTTCCCATAAAAATTAATAAAAAAGGCCCAACATGAGGATACTTACTCAACATAGGGACATTTTGTGATAAAATTACAAATAGATTTCAGGCCAAATTACAAGAAACAGATATTTCCACCCTTAAAATTGATGTGAGTTCTTGGGCATTTCTCTCACCAATTCACCATCCATTGAGCTAATTTAAAAAATTACCTCCAGCATAGAGGAACTTCTGTCTCTCTTTTTCACTTGAATGTTACTTTTACAGAGAATGTCAAAATTTCTATGTACTGCACAGAGGTATCAGAATTCAATTCCCTAAATGTCCATATTGCGTTGAAATATATTGATCGGAATCCGTTTCAATTGGGAGACAATTTTTATTTTCATGGAATTATGGTGAGTCTTTTGTACATAAAACACCAATTAAAAATTATATAATGTAAGTGCAAGGGAAAATGAGACTCAACTTAGGAACATTTTGACTTAGGGACACTCTTGATGCACCAATTACGTCCGCATCTTGGGATCTCACTGTATTTCAATTAGAAACAAACTATAACTAGAAAATAAGTTTAGACCCAAATTATTTTCAGAAAGAGAAAAAAGGTCCACAATTATGAAAAGCGCAGAAATCACTGAAACACCATTGCTTCCATTGTCAAGGGAACTCTCTTTTCCTTCAATAGTCAAGAACCCGCAGCTTATTCAGCGCACAACAGTATTTAAACCTTACTAACGAATTCAAAACTTATTATATTGATGTATACAGTATTTATAACAACATCAAAAAAGGGCAAAGAAAGTATAACCTGTTGGAGACATCCATGGCCGGAGAAAACATGGCAGCCTGTTGCTGGTCCGAAAAGTCCCGCCGAATGGAGAACAAGTCCCTGGCGTAGCCGCCGGAAATGGGCGCCGGGTAGCCCTGCGCCGCAAACCCGGTCTGAGAATGTGGCGGAACGTGGTGATGATGGTGGTGGTGGTGCTGGGCCGCCGCCGCCGCGGCCGCCACGTCGTGGGGATGGGTCGCGTGGTGGCCCGGGCTCAGCTTCATCGCCGGCATGTGTTCCATGAACGGGTTCAGCATCCCGGCGTCGGGCTCCGCGTGGTGCCGAGCTGCAGGGGCCAGTTTTCCGGCGCTCTTTGGCTTCTGTTCTCACTTATTAGGATCTCTTTTGTTTTTGTTTTTAAAAATATTTTCTTGATTTTATTCCAGGACTAAACTTCCACCTGAGTATCTTACTGTACCGTCCCGTCGCCTCTTTCTTTCATAAAGATTTTTTCCTTTTTCCGTCGACCCCCGCGACTGATGAAGTCACTCGGAATCGCTTTTCACAACGAGCCAACAATCAACCTGTGCGACACGAAATAAAATTGAAAAAAAAAATTACAGTATACATTACTGTATCATGAATTGAAACGTTTTCCACATGAACACAATAAATTATTTTCATGCAGAAGAAACGCGCCGTAAAACATTTGATTGACTAAGAGCTCCTTATTCCCCCAAGTGTCGTATTTTTTGGACTTTTAAAATTTGAAAGGTTGCATGAACAATTCTTTTCAGAGTTACAAAAACCGTAAATAAAAAAAACGAGAATTTCAAGTTGAGCAAACCGCTGTCGGAAATTTCGGAGTGAAACATCTCAGCTATAAGTGGGAGAATTAATTCACGCTTTAATTTGTAAACACGGCTTTTTTCACTCAAAATTTCTCGCAGTTATTGTTCAAAATAATGGTCAAATTTTCATAGAAATTAAGCGGGGAAAAATTACAGTATTCATTTGCTCAATTTTATTGACAATTCAGAATTTGACGGAAGCGAATTCCGAAGGGTATTTTTTTTTAATATTGTCATTGCAAGGGGAAAAGTAGGAATTCCCCACTTTTTTTTTTAGCTTCACTGCTTGTCAAAGAAACTTTCGAAAATTCCACAATTTTTGAAACTGCGTTTTCGACGTCCACTTCGGAAAGATTTTTCGACACTTTCGAAAACTATGCTGTGTAAGTGTTGACACTTACACAGANTGTTCACGTTGACGCCATAGCCCGGGGGCTGTTGGTTCCCGAACTGGTACCCCGCCCCGTCGCGCCAGTCGAACCGCATTTGATGGTGCGGGTGGTGGTGGTGGTGTTGCGGCGGTTCCAGGCCCGGAAACAAACTGCAATCGAACGAATAATGACATCAAATAAAATGGCGTCGAACGACGAGGCTCGAAAATAAAAAATGCCAATATGAAACAACTGCTGCAGGATAAAAATCAAATTCTCTTGGATATTCAACCCGCGTGAGAGAGAAATTACGGAATAGAAAATTACGAGACGCCACGCCCTTTTTTCTGATAAAAATCAAAGTAAAATAAAATTACGCAGCGTACTTGTTCCATTATATTAACTATAAAAGAATATCCGTAAAATTACCAAATAACTACAGTACCATAAAATGAAAGAAAAATAAGCACGAAATCATCTTTGAAAGCAGAATATACTCCAATAATACGAAGCCACAAGTGCATCACTCCAATGTTTATGCGCCCGAAAACGGCGATCGCAAAAATATTTTTTTGGCGGTCGTCCAGAATCGCAGATTTTTCTTCCTGCCTCAAATAGAGTGCAAATGAGGATTTCATCTGCCTGAATCATGCAGACTTATGTACAGTAAAATACAGTGAGACCACCAAATACGTACACCTCAACATCCGGACAATTCGACATAGGGAAACTTATTTTCCCATAAAAAATTAATAAAAAAGGCCCAACATGAGGATACTAACTCAACATAGGGACATTTTGTAATGAAATTTCAAATACATTTCAGGCCAAATTACAAGAAACAGATATTTCCACCCTTAAAATTGATGTGAGAGTTCTTGGGCATTTCTCTCACCAATTCACCATCCATTGAGCTAATTTAAAAAATTACCTCCAGCATAGAGGAACTTCTGTCTCTCTTTTTCACTTGAATGTTACTTTTACAGAGAATGCCAACATTTCTTTTTACTATACAGAGAATCAGTATTAAATTCCCCAAATGTCCATATTGCGTTGAAATATATTGATTGGAATCCGTTTAAATTGGGAGACAATTTTTATTTTCATGGAACTATGGCGAGTATTTTGTACATAAAACATTAAAAATTACATAATGTAAGTCTAAGGGAAAATGAGACTCAACTTGAGGACATTTTGACTTAGGGAGACTCTTGATGCCCCAATTACGTCCGCATCTTGGGGTATCACTGTATTTCAATTGGAAACAAACTATAAATAGAAAATACTGCAAGTTTAAGCCCCGATTATTATCAGATGCAAAGAGAAAAAGGTCCGCATTTATGAAAAGCGCAGAAATCACTGAAACACCATTGCTTCCATTGTCAAGGGAACTCTCTTTTCCTTCAATAGTCAAGAACCCTCAGCTTATTCAGCGCACAGCAGTATTTAAACCTTACTAACGAATTCAAAAATTATTCTATTGATGTATACAGTATTTACAACAACAAACAGGGGCAAAGAAAGTATAACCTGTTGGAGACATCCATGGCCGGAGAAAACATGGCAGCCTGTTGCTGGTCCGAAAAGTCCCGCCGAATGGAGAACAAGTCCCTGGCGTAGCCGCCGGAAATGGGCGCCGGGTAGCCCTGCGCCGCAAACCCGGTCTGAGAATGTGGCGGAACGTGGTGATGATGGTGGTGGTGGTGCTGGGCCGCCGCCGCCGCGGCCGCCACGTCGTGGGGATGGGTCGCGTGGTGGCCCGGGCTCAGCTTCATCGCCGGCATGTGTTCCATGAACGGGTTCAGCATCCCGGCGTCGGGCTCCGCGTGGTGCCGAGCTGCAGGGGCCAGTTTTCCGGCGCTCTTTGGCTTCTGTTCTCACTTATTAGGATCTCTTTTGTTTTTGTTTTTAAAAATATTTTCTTGATTTTATTCCAGGACTAAACTTCCACCTGAGTCTCTTACTGTACCGTCCCGTCGCCTCTTTCTTTCATAAAGATTTTTTCCTTTTTCCGTCGACCCCCGCGACTGATGAAGTCACTCGGAATCGCTTTTCACAACGAGCCAACAATCAACCTGTGCGACACGAAATAAAATTGAAAAAAAAAATTACAGTATACATTACTGTATCATGAATTGAAACGTTTTCCACATGAACACAATAAATTATTTTCATGCAGAAGAAACGCGCCGTAAAACATTTGATTGACTAAGAGCTCCTTATTCCCCCAAGTGTCGTATTTTTTGGACTTTTAAAATTTGAAAGGTTGCATGAACAATTCTTTTCAGAGTTACAAAAACCGTAAATAAAAAAAACGAGAATTTCAAGTTGAGCAAACCGCTGTCGGAAATTTCGGAGTGAAACATCTCAGCTATAAGTGGGAGAATTAATTCACGCTTTAATTTGTAAACACGGCTTTTTTCACTCAAAATTTCTCGCAGTTATTGTTCAAAATAATGGTCAAATTTTCATAGAAATTAAGCGGGGAAAAATTACAGTATTCATTTGCTCAATTTTATTGACAATTCAGAATTTGACGGAAGCGAATTCCGAAGGGTATTTTTTTTTAATATTGTCATTGCAAGGGGAAAAGTAGGAATTCCCCACTTTTTTTTTTAGCTTCACTGCTTGTCAAAGAAACTTTCGAAAATTCCACAATTTTTGAAACTGCGTTTTCGACGTCCACTTCGGAAAGATTTTTCGACACTTTCGAAAACTATGCTGTGTAAGTGTTGACACTTACACAGAATACTTTCTTCAATTAAAGCCATGGTTCACCTCACATCGCTGTAAAATACAAAATAATTTTACACTTCTTCGCAAGCAACAACAATCAAAATATAAGAACTCTACAAAGTTTCCGAGAATTCCAGAGCACTCAGAATCCAGTTTACATGATAACTTAATTTTAAAAAAAAAAANGGCCGCCACGTCGTGGGGATGGGTCGCGTGGTGGCCCGGGCTCAGCTTCATCGCCGGCATGTGTTCCATGAACGGGTTCAGCATCCCGGCGTCGGGCTCCGCGTGGTGCCGAGCTGCAGGGGCCAGTTTTCCGGCGCTCTTTGGCTTCTGTTCTCACTTATTAGGATCTCTTTTGTTTTTGTTTTTAAAAATATTTTCTTGATTTTATTCCAGGACTAAACTTCCACCTGAGTATCTTACTGTACCGTCCCGTCGCCTCTTTCTTTCATAAAGATTTTTTCCTTTTTCCGTCGACCCCCGCGACTGATGAAGTCACTCGGAATCGCTTTTCACAACGAGCCAACAATCAACCTGTGCGACACGAAAAAAAATTGAAAAAAAAAATTACAGTATACAGTATCATGAATTGAAACGTTTTCCACATGAACACAATAAATTATTTTCATGCAGAAGAAACGCGCCGTAAAACATTTGATTGACTAAGAGCTCCTTATTCCCCCAAGTGTCGTATTTTTTTGGACTTTTAAAATGTGAAAGATTGAATGAACAATTCTTTTCAGAGTTACAAAAACCGTAAATAGAAAACGAGAATTTCACTTTGAGCAAACCACTGTCGGAAATTTCGGAGTGAAACATCTCAGCTATAAGTGGGAGAATTAATTCACGCTTTAATTTGTATAGTGCCGAAAAAAGTGAGTTTTAAAGAGCGTCAATAACAAGTTTTATTACCAGTTTAAAAGTATCTTTAATTCGCCCCTTTTTAATGTCATAAGTAAACGAGTTAAAATAACTGTTAAGTCTTAAACTGGGAAGCGAATTCCGAAGGGTATTTTTTTTTAATATTGTCATTGCAAGGGGAAAAGTAGGAATTCCCCACTTTTTTTTTAGCTTCACTGCTTGTCAAAGAAACTCGAAAATTCCACAATTTTGAAACTGCGTTTTCGACGTCCACTTCGGAAAGATTTTTCGACACTTTCGAAAACTATGCTGGTAAGTGTTGACACTTACACAGAATACTTTCTTCAATTAAAGCCATGGTTCACCTCACATCGCTGTAAAATACAAAATAATTTTACACTTCTTCGCAAGCAACAACAATCAAAATATAAGAACTCTACAAAGTTTCCGAGAATTCCAGAGCACTCAGAATCCAGTTTACATGATAACTTAATTTTAAAAAAAAAAAGCACTAGTTCAAGTCGAATTAGAAACATTAAAAAATCCTTGGCAATTGAATAAATAAACGCTGAGCGGAAATTTTTGCTCACGTGATTTCGCAGCATAAAACTGCTTATTTAACTAAATTTGGCGAGCAAAATGGAAAATATTCCTTCGAACTCAATTCTGTAATTAGAAAATTTTTGAATTTAAGCTGACGGAATCACTTTCCAATCGTGGAACACGATCAGAATATTCTACACTTGAAAAACTTCGCTCAGGATTTCGAAATTCTATTGCGTCGAATCCAAAATGAAAAAAACTATTTCACTTTCTGGGAGAACCCAAAAAGTCAACTGAATATTTATTTATAAAATCTGAAAATCACTTCATGTCTCATGGAATGAATAATGCAAATTTTCCGTCGCAAAAATAAATTGAAAGCCCAGCCGCGAAATTCGTAGTATGCGATTTTTCGGTTGAAGACTCTCGAATAACGGAAAACACACAACCATGCTTTTTTCACGACTAAACACAGCGGTTATCCTACGAAGGAATGTTTTCATGATCACTGAAGGAAAAGAAAAAAAGAGAAGAGGATTAAACAGGACTCTTCAGAGAAGATTTCTCTTTTTGGGTGACCCTAACAGCAAGTTCTTAAAGTAGTTTCCTTACGCTGGAGCTTGGTCTGAAGTGCCTCAGAGTTGAAAGCGCCTGATACTGAATTAGAGTCTTTCTTTTCTTCTTTTTTAAATCCCTCCTTTCTTACGTGCGGACAACTAAAATATTAGCTTTATTATACACAGTTTCACTTCTTTTCAATTGTATCAGCATGCTCAAAACAGCCAAACATTCCACCTCAGCACGACGCGAGGAATCTCTCTCCATAATGTCGGTCTGAATGTGAAAAATAAAACATTTGATTCGAGAGAGTGAGAAAATGGATCAGTTATTCAAGTCAATTTTTTTAGAATATCTTCTCCTCAACTTTGTCAATTTAGTTGAAAAGCTGACCAACGCACACGAGAATTTGAAAATGCGATAATCGTAAAATTTACTTCATCAACCGAAGTCTGACATTATTTTCACGGCCAAAAAGTTGTAATTTGCAGGTTATCCTTTAAAAAATTTGCCTTCTGAAGTACGAAAAGTTCCGATCACTGATCGGAACTTGAAAAATTCACTAGGATCTTCTCAAAAACGATGATGCGGAAACGTTTTCATTGCGCAAATTTGAAAATGTTCGAACAGACTTCAGCTCTTTGCACGAATTTTTTTTTCTGTTCTGAAACTTATCATGAATTTCATCCAGACGGAAGACGAATTCACTATAAATTTTCCTCGAAAATCACTGACACACTGTGCTATCAGTAACTTGACCTCGCAAAAACTCGCTAAAGTTGATGCTCAGAAAATTGTTCGCCTTCCACGGGATAAGCTGAAATTCTTTGCCTAGATTTTCTTCGAAATTTCCACTTTCATTCTTCTATTCTCAAAGGGATTAAATAGGTCAAAGTTTTTCGTCGCGCGTCTTGAATTATTCCAACACGTGAACATTGACCAAGGGTTTCTCTTAGTTGTTTACACACACACACGCACACACACACACTAAACTTGTAAGTAATTTATGCAAACGTTTCGTCAACTGTTCGTCTCACTCAACTTCGACGGATTCACCAACAAAATAAATTACAAAAAGCGCAACGATGGAAGCCGTAAATTTCTTTCGCGCAGTACGATTTGTCGTCACTCGTCACGAGAGCCACCTCCTAATCAGAGGGGGGGCGTGGGATTACGGGTACGGTATTTTATTTTTATTTTTGCGGTGTCACACACACACGCACACAAACACACGTGCGGCGTGACAGGGACCTTTTTTGTTTCCTTCCCACAGGGAGTGTGTGTGTGTGCACAGGGTGCCACGGCAGGGGTTTTCTGGCTTCTTCTCTCTCTCTCTCTCTCTCGGTGATGTCGAGTCGAGTGTGTGTGAGAGAAAAAAGGTCAAGAACTATTCGAGGAAGCCAGGGGGGGAAGATCAAAACCCCCGGCTGGCCCCCGCTGACGACAGCCGAAAGGTTAACAGCTTGCTCACTGCAGGCACACAGGGCTCGTCCGCCAGCCCAAAGACCTAGCCCCCTGGACGGAACCAGATCTAGTGACTGCATGGAGCCTGTTCCCTACGGACCTCACTCTGTCGGCGGTACGAGGGAGTGCCGGGGCGGGCCCGGGTGCAAAACCGGGGGCGCCTGCCATCCCCCCCCCTCCTCCTTCAGCCCGCGATACACACACACACACACAGATGAGCGCCCGCCACTCCGGTCGCCCGGCAGTGGCTCTTCAACACCCCCCCACACATCCCTCTCCTCCTCCCTCTTCCTCCTCCCACTTGCATTGAAGCCCGCGCGAGAGTGTACAAAGCGACTGGGACGACATCTACGCGACTACTTTGACATTCGGGCGGAGACGGTATCGTCCTACCAAAGCTCCCTCCCTCCGCCTCTTTTAGCTAAAGTTAAATGTTTAATTTTTTGCACTAAAGTTAAATGTTTCACTAAAATTTGTAGAATGCCCAGGTGTGGCTGGGCACCCTCAGCTTGTTCAGGATAACATTACAAGTCTCACGTTAAACACGTGAGGAGAGTTTGGTCCAAGGAAAATATTTTGGATCAGAATATGTTTTACTGCGGAAACAGGTGAATGGCTATAGATTAATTGAGGTTTGACTGTGCGATCAACCCTGTGCCCTTACGGTGATAAATGATTTAAAATGCTATATATATCATGAGGATTTCAAAATTCTGTCACTTGAAAATATCGAGGTTTAACTTTTACAACAAAAACACACAAAAAAGACATCACATCCATCCAAGGGGTTTGGTTGAGAATTTTTTGAGAAGGTCAAAATTGGCCTCTTACTAACTTTGCTCACTAGCCAAGCAATCAATGACTTATACAAACTGGATTCATACATTTCACAAATATGAAACAGAAAATGTCTTGTGTCACCCAGCAAAACAGGGATAAATAAAAAAGTTGCTTCTAAAAATGCATGATGCACCTCATACAAGTCATATACTTTAGGGCAGCTGGTGAAAAATATGGCAGTTTTCTAAAAGGAATGGTATTTTGTTTATGGTTTTCATTATGTAGGGTTTATTGGAAGATCTGTTGCACCTGTGGGTATAAAATATTCTCTTTTCACGCATATCACAATTTTCTCCGTCAAGTGGGACAAGATTCACAGCTTGATGTTCTGTATTTTGGATAAATATGCTAGTTTTGTATGCTCTTTGATGATAGGAAAATTAATGGAACATTATGAAATGCGAATGTACCAAATTTACTCATCACTGTAAATCACGAACCTTTGTGTATGACATGTATCATCACATTAAAAAAAATTTGAAATCCAGTAAAATGAATGAAAAGGAACCTTTTCCTAAATTCTAGAAACCAGACATGGCTAGTTGGATGAATACAACTTGGCATCAAGTTGTGAAGCCCAAAATTTCATTTTTGTTAATATTTCCTAAGCCAGTTTGAACTGAATAAAGAGAATAAAATCAAGTGCTTGAAATATAGATATATAAACCTATCAAAAGCCGGGAAAACTGTAAGAAACTACTGTATACAAGTTTCTTACAACGTGTAAGAAACAAGTTTCTTACAGAGTATAAGCAAGCAAAGTATA